AACATCGACCAGACTACACAGCGCAACAACCCAGAAGACAGAAATCTTCATACTCATCGCCCTGATGATGGAGGCAGTATGACCTCTGAAACGTTGGTTAACATCGACCAGACTACACAGCGCAACAACCCAGAAGACGGAAATCTTCATACTCACCGCTGTGAGAACCTCAAGTCTTACAAATATATATTTCTGTGACACATCCTACATCTAACGTATGCTCCTCTACATGATTAATAAACAGTAAATTAAAATGTAATTTTGCTGATCATAACTAGATTCTGGGGACAGTAACTCAGGAAATGCTCCTATTTTACTCTCATTAACTACTGCTATAATAACAAAGGCTTGTAATTGACTGGATGCAGTACAGACACCAGAGTGTTCAGGCCTTCTGCATTGGTGTGTGGCTCGTTGCCTTTGTTCAGGTGTATCCTATCAGATTTTTTAAAATCACTTTCCAAAAAGTGAATGCTGCACATATAGAATAATTTTCTGGGGACATTCAACAGACAGCAAGAAGTATTTTGCACCCAAAATAAAATCATTAGAATAGTCGCAGGCAATAAAAGGAGAGCCTAATTAAATAAATTGTTTAAGAAGTTTAATATTTTCCACTAGCCAATGAATTCCTGCTCTCATTATTACCATTTATAGTGAACAACATAGGAAAATTTCAAACAAACTCAGACGTCCACAACAGAAGTACAAGATATAGATATAACCTTCATATATAAAACATTAATCTCGTAAATATCGAAAAGGAGTTTATTATACTGGAATTAGGCTATTTAATATTTTTCCATCCATTATCAAAAGTCTGAATTATGATATAAAGAAGATTAAGCCAACACTAAAAAGCATCATCTCCTGTCTCACTCCTACTCTACAGAAGAATTTACATTAACTAAAAATTTTCAGCTATAATAAATACAAGTAATAATTGTGATGCCTTTTTGCATAATTTCTTTTGCAACACTATAGTAAACTATAAATAACTGTCACAACTATAAATTTATAGTTGTATTAGCAACAAGTACTGATTTTGTACTATGAAGAAACTATCACATCTAATATATTCTATTCTATTATCATAAAAGTCAACAACAATCCATCATATCCCTGACGATGCAGGCAGAAAGATCCTGTTAAAAATTGGGTTCCTGTCCAGAAATGACTTTTGTTTCTTGCCCAAGACAATTCTATCAAGTCAGTCACCCTGAAAGCTTCTAGTTGTGAACAATTACAAAATTGGCAAAGCTGTCGAATTTTGAGGTTATGTCTAAAAAAATTTAAAGTAGACAAAGTTGACTGATGATATTTTTATGAATAGTTTAAGATTAAGCTCATTTACATTTTGCAAAATAAATGGCCTATCCAACCACAATGACCAGCTTCTTATACTGCTGCATCACATAAATTAATACCACTGAAGGTATTCATCCAGGTACTCGCTTATGCTGATGATGTCAGTTTGCTGTGGGATGGTGTGGGTACCATAACCAAGAAAGCAGAAACTCTCCAACAGGCTAGCAAAGAAATAGGCCTAGAAGTAAATGTAGACAAAACTAATTACATGGGCGTAATACAGAATCAACATCGGTCACGATGGCTGAACATAATTACAAGTAACACATCATTTGAAAATGTTTCAAAATTTAAGTATCTGGGAACAACAATAACAAACAGAAATGAGATCCATGATGAAATTAAGAGTAGAATACATTCGGAGAATGCTTATTTTTATCCAATTCAAAAACTGTTTTCATCTCGTTTGTTATCCCAAACACTGAAGATCAGGATATATAAAACAATAATTTTGCCTGTTGCCTTACATGGTTCTGAAACACGGTCTCTTACCTTGAATGAAGAACGTAAATTACAGGTGTTTAGAAAAAAGGTGCTCAGAAAAAATACTTGGACCCAGATGGGATGACATAAGTGGGGAATTTAGAATATTGCATAATGAGGAGTTGCATGAATTGTACAGGACACCTAGTGAAATCTAGGAGGCTCTGATAGTCTGGGCAAAAAGCTCACATGAGGGAGGCAAGGGGCACACACAGAATTTTGGCAGGGAATCCTTCTGGAAAACAATCACTGGGCACACCAAGAAGGAGATGGGATTAGAGAGGTGGGCTGTGAGGATGGAAAATGGATGGAGTTGACTGAGGATCGTGGCCAGTGGCGGGCCTGGTTGTTGTCAGTGTTGAACCTGCAGGTTCTGCTACAAGGCAGTTAGTTAGTTACGCATAATAATTATCCAAACAAAACCATTCTACACTAAATATTTTAAAATCCTGAATTATGTTATAAAAGCAGCAATACAGTGGACTTATAGTAAAATCAGGTAAAACTTAAAATAAGAACAAAGTGGAATATTGTAAAGGGAGACAAGAAAAACATATTTAGCTGAACAGATGGCATCGCTTCTTATAAACACTGAAGAAGTACAGGACCCAGTAACACTTACTAATACGTTCAATGTTTTTCTTTTGTAACAGTTACTGAAAGTCTAAAGTTACATCAAGTGGGGAGCGAAGATGCTATTTTATTTTAAGAGTTGCATTTTCTGGTAATAAAATGATTCCTGCCACTGTAACCGAGATAAAAGTATAATAAATTTCCTCAATCAAAAACTCATCAGGATGTAACGAATTAAGAAGCAACATTTTTAAAGTTTGTTCAGGTTCAATTAGTCACCCATTAGCCCACATCTGTAATCACTCACGATGCACAAGCATTTTCCCACAACTTCTAAAGAACTCGGTAGAAAAAACACTGTGCAAAATAAGGTGATAAAAACTATTATGACAAACTATAGGTTAATTTCACTATTAACTACTTTTTCTACAGTACTTAAGGTTACGTACAGTACGTTAAACCATCAAAAACCATACTGATCACAGAACAATTTGGTTTCAAGAAAGTTGTATCCACTTAAGATGCAGCATTGATACTAACAGATGTGTTAAAACCTATTAACAAAAAAACATACGCTGCAGGAGTATTCCGTGATTTTACACAAGTATTGGAATGTGTAAAACATGTAATTTTACCTAATTACATTTGTACGTCATTCAAGCAACAGCTACAAATTGGTAAAGATCCTACCTAACAGAAAAAAATGTCGAAGTAAAATTGTTGTATATTTGTGGATTTATTTTAAACAGTTCATTACTTTCTCAAATCTCTAGTCGTCGTTCTGAATGGTGTTCGTGGGTTTCCTCAATCCCTCCAGGAAAATGCCGGGATAATACCTTAAATTAGGCCACGATCGCTTCCGTCCATATGCTTACCACTTCATTATTCACTATCATCCTCTCATTCGATGTTATACAGTCTGAGATACACACAAGGCGTCTTTAAATAAGCTATAAATAAAGAAAATGTAACGTACATAACCTAAAACAAGACAACCCAAACAAACCTTGCTTAACGTCAACGAATTTCACCAAGCTTCACCCACCTGCTGCTTGGATGGTTCCAACGAGAGATCGAGATTCAAAGCGACTAGCGACATCTTTCGTGTGTAGTGCATGCACGTGTTAAAGTAACTCGACTTGTAATCAATAGATGTCGCAGCGCTCTCAGAGGGCTGTTACGCCACGGATCATCATTATTATTATTATTATTAAACGTCACGTGTGAGAATGACCATTGTTGCGACATGTAACAATTGTAAATCAACAACTTTAGTTTTCGCAGTTAGCAAAGTGAAGCGAAGAGTGCAAGTTCGAAGCTGTTCATTTAAATAGCAAATTCAAGAAGAAATTATATTTCATCCAACCATCATGTCAGAAGAAGTACTCAGATGTTTCAGAATAATCTCTCGAAGACGGGTAAGTAATAAAGAACTAGCAACCATTGGTTTAGTATAATTAATAGAAAATGCAACCTGTTTCCACACAAGGCAAATCGTGTTCGGATCAGGATTCCAAGTAAGCTCATAGTTTATCTAAAAGATGTACTGATAAAACACTACCCACATCAGCTTATCAGTGCAGAATGCATAAGATATATGGACGTAAGAGCAAATTTCCAATAAAATATTTAACGATGCACTCTAATTATTTAATTAATTTATTTATTACTATTGTTGTTCTGATAATTATTACTAGTAGAGGTATTAATAGCAATATAAAATAAATGTAATTTAACTACAGACTTCGTGTATCACAAAAAAAATTTGCATTGTTACCAAGAAATAATATTGCATGTAGAATTTTTTGGCATACTCAAAGCAAAACTTGATACAAACTTTAATTCATGTTAAATTTACTCCACATTACTAGCTTTGTAGTTGGAGATGTAACCCATAGCTTTTATTTTACTAATAAATTTTATTACTTTCACTCCAGAAGGTATTAGTTAATGTTCGAGAACTTCAAAGTTCCCGCTTTTCATAACCTCTTTGAGGACGAATCATCTTAACACTGCGACCAGACTCTTCCACCGACAACGAAATGAAAGGAGTGTGGTTTTGTGGGGAGGGGAGGGGTAGATGATTAACGATGAGATATATTAACAAATATTATTAGGCGGTTGAAATGGGCAGTTAGGAGATCCATGCACATGAGAGATCAATGATAAAATGAAACTTAAATAAACAGAAAGTTAGGATGTGAACTGGATTCATCTGGCAAAGGGTGACAACATTTCGCTTAATTACCTCGAATGTTGAGACTTTACGGTAAAACAGAGTTTGCGAATGAAATATTGGTTCGTCTCTCAAAACAAGTTTTACTAGAAAAAATGTTTTGCTCAGATAAATATTTACGATGAAGATGTGACCACAAATGCACGCGCTGTATTTTAAATATGTAACAATGAAGTCTGTCCAAAGAATCTAAAATAGAACATATTTCATATAATTGTCAACAATCGACAAGATACGCAGCTGTGTCAATAATAGAAATCCTTTTATGCTGTCTTAATTGTTGTAAACGAACTGCTTTAGTTCCCGTGATTCCCGCAAAGTGAAGAGTGCGTGAAGTCGTTGAGCATTTATTATTCCATCCATTATGAGGAAGTTAACGTTCAGTTTGTGCGGGAAATCCTTCGAGTACAAAAACACATTTTGTAGAATTAATATTTCAGGTGTTCGGATACAAACCGTAGAAGACAGACGAGAATCATTTTAAATGCCCTTCGCCGTGTGGTTTTATTGCCCACGGATTAACACTCGTTTGTCTACAGGTAGAGAAGGGCATTTTTAAACCGGGTATTCGTAAGGAAAGTCTACATAAAGTTGGTAACGATAATGTAGTCAGAGTAGTAAATTTTGTAACTTTAAATAATCTAAGTGGCTGTGACTAGTGCGCCCGGCCTTATTCATAAATATACTTAGACATCTGCTGATTGTGTTACACGTAATCAGATCATGTTCTGACAAAAGACAACGCACTAGTACGTATATTAGATGTCAGATCTTTCAGAGGAGCTGGCTGTGATACCGACCATCACCTGTTAGTGGCAAAATATTGTCAGAGACTCTCAGTAAGTAAACAAGCATGGCAAAAGTTTGATTTAGAAAGATCTGATTTGAAGAAACTCAGTGATGTACCAGGTAGAAATCTCCAATAGATTTGCGTCTTTAGAGAACTCTGATGACAATCTTGATATTAATAGCGCTTGGGAAAGTATTACGGACGAAATCAAAACCTCAGCCAAGGCAAATATAGGATATCACAAATAAATCATAGTAAACTATGGTTTGAAGATGACTGCTCAAAATTGACAGACAAATGGAAGTGGGTTAAATTACAATTGTTGCAAAACTCACGCCAAATCAACGGAGATAATCTGCTAAATTTAAGATACGAAACCAGTAGAACATTTAGGAGTGCCTCATGGCTGGGAGTGGACTATCTCCCCATCTCCACGATATTTGGAGTCACAGGGTCCATTGCCTGAGGGAGCTTGAGAATGGAATTTCCAGCCTGTTCAGGGCTATGACTTCTGCATATGTCAAATCTAGCTGGTCGGGATTCCTGCCAGAGCCTGAGCAGAGTGAGTTTGGTTGTTTGGTCTTTATTCTGTACGTTCATCCTGCAGCATCTTCCCACAAGCAGTGATCATGCAGAGGATCAGCCATCACAGTCGAATGAGGGTTATAACTCATCAGATGACTGTGTGATTGTGGGCTATGTGAAGCCTCGTCATGAGAGGACACCCGAAGTCATCACGTTGCTATCGTCTGACCCAGAGGTAAGTCCAGCAATGTTTGCACGCTGTGTGCTGCCAAATGTACATATTCTCTTTTACTTCCTAACCTAAAAATAGTTGAAATGAACAGAAGAGGAGAAAGTGGGTTTGGTTGCGATACTGAGAGTGCCGCTGCTTTCGTTATAAAATCATTTGAGGCCAATGAGCTAATGGACAGATTCTGCTAGTCCTGGCCATTCCTTAGATAGTGGTTTTCGGAGGCTGAAGGAAAGGGGATATTTTTAGGGGAATGCCCAGCCTGCTGATGCTGTTGAAGGTTATGTTCACGCGCCCGTTTGTTGGAAGGATGGTAGTGGGATTTGGAGTTTAGATTAGAGGTTAGTGTGGGTAGATTTTCGATAAACCTTATGGCCTACTGAGCCATCAGTTTGGATGTGAAAGAAGGGAAGATGGCCACCCCTTTCATTCTCTGTGGTAAACTGAATATTCTCATGGACACTGTTCAGGTGGTCAAAGAACTCCAACGGCTTGCCTGAGCCGTGGGGCAGATGACGAACGTGTCATCCACGTAGTAAAATCAGCAGTGGGGCTTGTGGGTTGCCCCCTCCAGAGCTGTTTTTTCATAGTTCTCCACGAAGAAGTTGGCAGCGACGGGATAGTGGTGAACCCATGGCTTGTAGAATTGCCCGTCACCTGTTGGTTCTCGGCCGATCCTGACTCTACTCCCCACTGGTCCGAGCCTTGACTGTGGGGTTCCTTTATCTCAAACTGATGCCACACACATGGCTTACCCATTACACTGATGATGGAGGCAGCAAAGACCTGTGAAAGGTTGGTAAACTTCTACCAGACAAGGCACTACAACCCAGAAGACAGCCATCTTCTGATCTATGTTTATTTTTCTCAGATCCTAATTGTGGCATTTCATTTTAAATATCTGCCTTTTTTTGGACAGATTTTGGTCTCATTATTTAGCGCTTTGGTATGCTACTTTATGTGAAGTCCTTAAAATAGTATGACTTGTACTTGTATAATACGTATTTTATTATAATGACTTATTCAGATTATTTTGTTAACTGCTTACCAGGATTGTTGTTCGTTTCTTCGTTGCGTGAAGCACAAACACGTCACTTTGAGTGGTCGCTTTCATGTCTTGAATTGCAAGGCTCTTTACATACTTCAGTAAAACTTCAGTTAGTTTGCCGTTTGGCATCGACTGATAGCAAGATTATTTGTTGAGGCAATCTGGAACATTGTTTATTAGATTCAGACAGTGAGATTTATAACTGTGAATGATATTTAGTTTAATAAATTTATTAATGTGCCTGAAAATATCAAGAAAACCAAATATTGACAAGCGGTGAAAAGGAGACGAGATATGAAAAACCGTCGATACATCTTCTATATTCCACCCCCATTTTGCGGTAGAGGATGTAGGACTTACAGAGGACTAGGTATGTAAGATGAAAGAATATCTTTTCTTATGAGTAGAGTAGAGTTTATTTACATTCCACAGATCCTTCTTAGGACTCAACCAAAGGTTGTAGAACATGTCATTTCATACAATATACATACACTTCAGAACTTTCAACATAAGTACAAGAACGTATTTCACATGTCAATGTACATAAATTTCAGATTCTGCAATACAAGTATGAAAAATAATTTTACAAATTAATATACATAAACCTCAGAATTTTAAATATAAATACAAAATTTGCTTTACATATACGTAGATTATGGATACAAAGCTTAAACATTTTCAGCAGAGATGAAATCATTTACAGAATAGAAGGATTGAGTAAAGAGGTAATCTTTCAATGCAGGCTTCAATACCTTTATATCATAATTTAGACTTTTAATTGTTGGTGGAAGATTATTAAATAACTTGATACCTGTATAGTACACTCCTTTCTGATATTTAG